GTTCTCCTTGGCCACATGAGGGGTCCTTGCCTGCCGTCCCCATGCGACCTTGGCCGGGGACATGATGAATCAGCCTGTGCCCTCTTTGAAACAGGAACTTCCGTCTCAGCTTCTTAATAACCCGATCTGACCAAATAGAACCACATCCTGCCAGAAGTTGCTGGCCTTAGAGAGTTGGGGGGGGGGGCTACATGTAGAAATTAGAGATGAAATGTTACCAGACTTAAACTATATTCAATAGCTATTCACTGGGCCTGGAGCCATCAAGCCAAATGCTCTCCCAGAAGCATGTGTTTTTGTAGAAAAATTCAGTGGGAACCAAAATTGCAATAGAAAATCTCCAGGGTTAGGGTTAGGTTTCGGTACTGGCTCTGAAGGTGAGGAAGCTTCCTGGAGCCCGAGGTGGCAGAACAGATCTGGATTCACCTGCAGGGCATCAGGGTCAGGAGAGGAAACTTGCCAATGTCTTGGTTTCAGCCCAGTGGGACCAGGTGGAGCTCCAGCTACAGAGCCGTGAGATAATAAACTAACAAACGCGTGCTGCTTGAAGTCACCAGGTCGGGCCGCCCCCCTCTGCAGCCCCCCAACCCCGATCCCAAGCCTGCTGCACACTCACGCTGCCACTACGCTGCCTTTCTGCAGGTTAATTTTTTCACTTAACAGTGTATCTGGGGATTATTCTCTGTCTCAGTCTTTGTCATGGCTGCATAGTATCACCATTGTTTATTTACCCAATTCCTGTATGTGGGCAGTTTGTCATTTTGCAGTGTTTTTTTTTTAACTGCAAACCATGCTGAGGTAACAGGCAGGTGGGTCCCCACGTCCCCTCGGTCATTTTCCTTCTGACAGGAGAGCCGGGTTTCAGCCCCTCCTCCCAGCGCCGGGGCAGGCCAATCTGCCCTGTAAGCTCTGACGCTGCGTGTAATTCCGGAACACTCCGTCAGGAACTCACACATGTCTCAGCATCACCTTGCGGGGACTCTGACTGCTAATCACCTCATTTAGATCTAGATTCCTGCCCCCTTCCTCTGATGCCCAGGGAGGCAGGTGCGGTTGAGTCAGGACCTTCCCCCCGAGGCACCTCCCCCTGCCCCTAGTCGGCTCCTCTGAAATCCTGAAGACGCAGGGGACCAGGCGTCCAGGAACGGCGTCTGCAGAAGCAGCAATTTAATCTCAATCGGGGAAGAAAAACATGCATTTTCTCTCTGTCTCTGCCGATTTGGAAAGTGGAGAAAGTTGATTTCAAGGGGGCCTTTGGGAAATAAGAGGAAACAGGTTTTGGAATAACTGTGGGGAGGAAGGTGAGGGAGTAATTACGGCTGGAGACAGCCGCGGTGCTCAGAGGAAAGAAGGGTGATGTCCAGCACGGAGGCTGAGGGTCCGTCGGGGCACAGGGCCCCCCGCGAGGCTGAGGGTCCGTCGGGGTGCAGAGGGCCCCCCGCGAGGCTGAGGGTCCGTCGGGGCACACAGGGCCCCCCGCGAGGCTGAGGGTCCGTCGGGGTTCACAGGGCCCCCCGCGAGGTTGAGGGTCCGTCGGGGTGCAGAGGGCCCCCCGCGAGGCTGAGGGTCCGTCGGGGTGCAGAGGGCCCCCCGCGAGGCTGGGGGTCCATCGGGGTTCACAGGGCCCCCCGCGAGGTTGAGGGTCCGTCGGGGCACAGGGCCCCCCGCGAGGCTGGGGGTCCATCGGGGTTCACAGGGCCCCCCGCGAGGCTGGGGGTCCATCGGGGTTCACAGGGCCCCCCGCGAGGCTGAGGGTCCGTCGGGGTGCAGAGGGCCCCCCGCGAGGCTGGGGGTCCGTCGGGGTTCACAGGGCCCCCCGCGAGGCTGAGGGTCCGTCGGGGCACAGGGCCCCCCGCGAGGCTGGGGGTCCATCGGGGTTCACAGGGCCCCCCACGAGGCTGAGGGTCCGTCGGGGTGCACAGGGCCCCCCGCGAGGCTGAGGGTCCATCAGGGTTCACAGGGCCCCCCGCGAGGCTGGGGGTCCATCGGGGTTCACAGGGCCCCCCGCGAGGCTGGGGGTCCATCGGGGTTCACAGGGCCCCCCGCGAGGCTGAGGGTCCGTCGGGGTTCACAGGGCCCCCCGCGAGGCTGGGGGTCCATCGGGGTTCACAGGGCCCCCCGCGAGGTTGAGGGTCCGTCGGGGTGCAGAGGGCCCCCCGCGAGGCTGGGGGTCCATCGGGGTTCACAGGGCCCCCCGCGAGGCTGAGGGTCTGTCGCGGTTCACAGGGCCCCCCGCGAGCTGAGGCTCTGTCGGGCGCACAGGCCCCCCGCGAGGCTGGGGGTCCATCGGGGTTCACAGGGCCCCCCGCGATGCTGAGGGTCCGTCGGGGCGCACAGGGCCCCCCGCGAGGCTGAGGGTCCGTCGGGGTTCACAGGGCCCCCCGCGAGGCTGAGGGTCCGTCGGGGTGCAGAGGGCCCCCCGCGAGGCTGGGGGTCCGTCGGGGTTCACAGGGCCCCCCGCGAGGCTGAGGGTCCGTCGGGGTTCACAGGGCCCCCCGTGAGGCTGGGGGTCCGTCGGGGTGCAGAGGGCCCCCCGCGAGGCTGGGGGTCCGTCGGGGTTCACAGGGCCCCCCACGAGGCTGGGGGTCCGTCGGGGTTCACAGGGCCCCCCGCGAGGCTGGGGGTCCATCGGGGTTCACAGGGCCCCCCGCGAGGCTGGGGGTCCATCGGGGTTCACAGGGCCCCCCGCGAGGCTGGGGGTCCGTCGGGGTTCACAGGGCCCCCCACGAGGCTGAGGGTCTGTCGGGGTGCACAGGGCCCCCCGCGAGGCTGGGGGTCCGTCGGGGTTCACAGGGCCCCCCGCGATGCTGACGGTCTGTCGGGGTGCACAGGGCTTCCCGCAAGGGGCCACTGAGGCTTCCAAGCCCTGAAAGCTAACAGCTTGCCATCCTCCCCACTGCCTGTCGGACGGCCCAGCTTGGTGGGCAATGGAGGCATAACCCATGTGGGTAGTACTGGTGGTTCCAGCCGGCCCGGGGGCTCCCCAGGGTCAGGCAGGCAGAGAGAGCACCTGTTTCTTACTAGTCTCCTCATGATGTGGGCATGAAGGACCAGAGACCCCGGCTGGTCCACGTGGCTCCAGGGTGGGCAGTTCCGGCTGAGAAGGGACTGTCTTCCACTTCACTGAGCCGACGTGGAAGCAAAGAGGAGGCTTAGACCGACATCTGGGGAAGCGGGCAGTGTCCCCCACAAACCACCGGGGACTGACCTTCAGCACTCTGCAGCCCCTAGAATGGCGGACGGAATAAAGCAGTGACCGGCACGGCGTGGTCCCTGCTGTCCAGCCGCACCCTGGGGCCTCTCCTGATCACAGAGCCCGGCAGGGTGACGGGGACGTCGGCTTCCGTCCGCACCCCTGGTCTCCTCCCCCCGGGGCTCAGCCAGCCTCCCGGGTCTGGGCAGTGCGGGAATCAGGATGCGACCCCACCTTCTCCCCACCCTCTCCTCTGAAGCGGTCACCGAGACCCGTGCAGAGAGCACGGGGTCCAGGGAGCGGGGTGGAGTCCGTCTCCTGGAAGGGGTCATCCACGCAGGCTGGAAACGCTCCCATCGGGAATTTCTCTCTGCCCAGCTCCCACCTCTGCCCCGTCCCAGGTTCTGGTCTAAAGGGTCAGCAGGGAGGGACACGGCCTGCGTAGCTTTCATTCTCACACGACTGCAGCACCTCCGAGGCTCAGGTCTGACTGTAAGTCCCCGCCTGCCTGGGGCGGCTCCAGGCTTCCAGGTCAGGAGGGCTGGACTGGGTGTCGGGCCGTGCCTATGAGACAAATCACCAGGAACCCTCGGTGCTCAGGGGATGTCCTCAGAAGCACCGGACAAGCGGGCCAGGGTAGGAACCGCCCCGTCCTGGTCCAGAAGGCAAGACGCCCTGCTGCTTCTCAGACGAGGGAGACAAAGGCAGCTTCTTTCTGATCAGAACGTCTGCAGAAGCCACTAGACCGTGTGTGGTCGGCGCAGCTCGAGTCTGCCCTCACCCTGTGTGTCCTCTGCCCAGAGCCAAAGACACCCAAGGGCCCACCTGCAAAATAGAGCATCGCTTCCTTTCATAGCTTTCTACACTTAAACGTTTAATATGGATACACGTGATTCAAAAGAGAAATATCCTGAAGTGCAGGTTTTCTCTGCATTCTCCCAGAGTCAGGGATTCCTCTTGCTCACCCGAGGGCGTGGCCACCGGGGCCCAGGCAGCTGGACCTCGGGGACCAGCTGCAGGAGGGGGGCCCCAGGTGCTGGCCACCTTAGCGCGTCACGCTGGGTGCCGCGGTCACCGAGCCAGGCAGCACCACGTCCCAACTCGGGGCTCAGCACACGCGGCCTCTCTGCCTGACATGAGCCTGGGGCAGGCCCAGCTCCGGGGCCCTGCCCCCACCAGGGTGCATCGCCCCACAAGCCCAGAAGACCCCTCCCCACACCGAGGCCCCAGGACCCGACCCGCTGGCCCCGTCTCCTCCAGCCACCACTGCATCGAGCAAGACCCTCGCAGGGAGGGAACTTGTTATCTCTCCTTCCTCACAAACCTCGTGAATCATTGATCAAAGCGCGCCCCTCGTCTGCGGGTGCCTGCAGCTGTGCTGTTCAACCTCGTAATTGCAGGATGCCGCTCCCTGCCTTGCTTTTGATCAGCTCCGACCCCGGGGGCAGGTGAGGGTCTGCTGGGCGCTTGAGCCAGGGCCCCCCCAGGGAGGAGGGTCCCAGCCTGAAGTCCCCCTGGGGCAGGGGACAGGCAGGGAGGGGTGGTTTGAGGACCCTGTCCTGGCTGCTCCGAGGTTTTAAGTCCACCGAGTTCTCTGATCAGAATCCCAGGCCGTGAGGTCCCCGGACACCTGCGCGCATGGTCCCTGCGGGCGAGGAATGGGCTCCGAAGAGGAGCCCACAGTCAGAGCCACAGGCCCTGCCCTGTTTCTGGCCATGAGCGAGTTTCCCCAGAGCAGAGAGCATGGGGGTCAGCGTGTTTGGCAAGCGCGTGGTTAGACCAAGTTGGTGGGTTTGTTTTCCACAGGATGTGCCTGGACCTTCCTGGTGTTGTAAGCAGCGAGGAGCAGGAGAGGAGACAGCCGTCCGGCCTTCACGTCCATCTGCTGCGGGACCCGCTCACATTGAACGCACTCACCTCTGTGGGGACGCAGAGATGCCGAGAGGAGCCTGGAAGAGAGACGGAAGTCACGCTCCTGGCTCAGGCGACCCCCCTACATTGCTCCCAAAGGGACACCTGGGACGTGGACCCCGAGTGTCCACAGGAGGAAAGCGTGCGAGGAGGCAGCCCCACCAGCAGCCAGGAGCGGGTCTGGAGGACTTGGAAGCGGACGAGCCAGGACAGGGAGCCGGAGCAGAAGGAGGGCCCCAGGATCGGGTCTGAGACCAGGGGATTCCAGCCCCGCGGGCGCAGACCGCCCCGGAGGAAGGGCTGTGAGGCTGTTGGGGTCACATCCAATGTGCACCCGCTCAGCCATGGATTACGGAACAGACAAGCCCGGTGCCCTCTGGGTGCCAGCCCCTCGGGGCCAAATGCCAGCTTGGGGGCACAGCTTCCGTGGACCTGAGCGTCAGCGGGCACAGAGGGCCGTGGCCAGGGCTCCTCCTGCGGCTCCTGGGAAGGTGCCAGGCGGGAGAGCTCCAGCACCCTGTCCACCACCTCCCGCTACCCTCTTCGTCCAGACTGCAGAACTCAGGGCTGCAGACAGAGAGCGAGCCTCCCTGTACCCGCCCGACCTCCCGAATGATCAGTGAGAGCCATCAGCCTGGCCCCGTCACCTGATGCTTCCCCCTGCCCAGGCATCTCCAGAGACGCTCAGGTGTCCCCGAGCCTCTGGCCGTCTCTGCTGGGAGGCCCAGTCGACTCCCACATGCACCTAATACACATGCATTAGAACAGTCAGGGCTCTGCAGAGAAGCAGAACTAAGATATGTACCCATGGATGTGAGTTACTGCAAGGAATGGGCTCATTGACTCTGGTATTGAGAAGCCCCAGCCCTTGCCGTCTGCGAGCGAGGTTCTCAGGATTCCAAGCTGGGCCAGAGGGAGCCCGCCCTGCTCCGGGCCAGCCAGGCAGATGGAGCAAAGCCCCTGACACACAGCTGTTCTGCTCAGGCTTCGCAGGCAGGACGAGGCCCCCACGCCTGGCCAGGCACCCGCTTCACTCCATCCTCTGGTTCAGAAGCTAATCTCTCCCCTGCACACCCTCAGACACACCCAGGATCAGGTTCAACCAAATACCGGGGCACCGCCAGGCCCCAGCAAGATGTCACGTGAGCCAGCCACCACACACCACGGCCCAGCAGAGCCTTACTTTCCACAGTCCAGCCCTCTGCCCCGCCCAGGCCTCCCCAGGTCAGTAGACGGCCATCAGTTCTACTAACGGCAGAATCCTGGGGGCCTCTTGTTCCCCATGCGAACATCCATCCCGGCAAGTCTGACTTTCCACACCTGCTGAGCATCCAGCAAGAGTCTGCTCCCTGCATCCCCCATCCACATAGTCAGCACGTCCGCTGACCACCTCCCCACCTTCCCCCTGCACCCCTGCGCCCTGCTGACCCTACAGCAGGCGAGCCCATCCCAGCGAGGGCTGGGCTGCCCCTCCCCACCGTCTCCCATCTCCCCAGAGGTCCGACGGTGGCCCCTGGTGGCCCCCGACAGGGCAGCGTTATGGACCGGAGGGGCCCGGGGCCCAAGGGGGTGGACAGCATCCTTCCCCACCCGAGGGGGTGGACGGCGTCCTTCCCCTGAGGGGGTGGACGGTGTCCTTCCCCACCCGAGGGGGTGGACGGTGTCCTTCCCCATCCAAGGGGTGTGGACGGCGTGCTTCCCCATCCGAGGGGTAGACGGAGTCCTTCCCCACCCGAGGGCATGGACGACGTGCTTCCCCATCTGAGGGGTGGACGGCGTCCTTCCCCTGAGGGGGTGGACGGTGTCCTTCCCCACCCGAGGGGGTGGACAGCGTGCTTCCCCATCCGAGGGGTGGACGGCGTCCTTCCCCCGAGGGGCTCACGCTGATGAAGAGACAGAGGCAGCCCCCCCAGTGAGGAGGTGCTGCAGGTAGGTGCTCAGGAGTCAGAGGGGTCGGGCGGGGCTCACTCCCTCCAGGCAAGTGGTGGAGACCCCCACCCCGAGGAGGGGATGCAGGAGTCCCACCAGGTGGACTGAGGGGCAGTGAGGAGGGACCCGCGGCGACAGGACCGCAGGGACGGCACAGCTGCGGAGCTGCAGGACCCAGGGAGGGATGGAGAAGCCTCCACAGTGACCGCAGGCCCAGTCTCTGATGCAAGGGCACAGTCAGGCCACCGCAGGCCCCGTCTCTGACGCGGGGGCACAGTCAGGCCACTGCAGGCCCCGTCTCTGACGCGGGGGCACAGTCAGGCCACCGCAGGCCCAGCCTCTGATGCAAGGGCACAGTCAGGCCACCGCAGGCCCAGCCTCTGACGCAGGGGCACAGTCAGGCCACCGCAGGCCCCGTCTCTGACGCGGGCGCACACTCAGGCGGCTCACTCAGCACAGCTGGCTGACCGCCTTTCAGCCCCCGACGGTTCCTCCCCACACCTCACTCTGCGTGTCTGCCAGCCCCCAGGCAGCGTCACGTCAGGTAGAAACGCGGAGCAGCCTGAGGCAGGAGCATGGAGGGGCCCCGCCACTTCCTGGCTGGACCGTCCCGGGGTGTCTGCCTCCCCGAGGGCAGAGCAGTGGCCGTGAGCAGAGCCACTGTCCTCCGGGGCTCAGGCAGACACAGGTCCGCGCTGGGGCTCCCAGAAGAGGGGACGTGCGGGGGGCACTGCTGGTCCTTCAGCACCTTCCCCGAGGGACAGGCCGTGTTGAGTCAGACCCAGAGGTCGGCCTCCGTCCTGGGGGGACCCAGGACCCCATAGACACACTCTCACATGGGCCACAAGGGTGCTTGCAAGGAATTCAGTGCTGCAGCGTGTTCTGTCACGTCTATGAATTCAACTAGGTACAGAGGGAGCATTTAACTCCCCTCACGTCTGCCGGGGCTTCTAAGGCACTAAGAGGACCTGGGCAAATGCCCACCCACAGAGCCCCCCGGGGAGGAGGGGGCCCGGGGAGCGGTGGCCCCCGACGGCCCGAGGCGGCTGGTGGAGGGCTCAGGGCAGGCCGGATACGGCTCCCCCTCCTTTGGGGCTCCAGCCTTTGGCCGCCTGGCCCAGCTCTCCCCTTCCTCCAGATGCAGCTTCTGCCCCAAGCTGCAGCTCATTAAAATTTCAGGCCGACTGGTCTACCTAGAGCCGCCTCTTCCATTTTTAATATGCCTTCCACTTATCAGACCTGCATGAGGCAATGCACCCACGGTCCACGGTCCCTGTCTCCTAGCAATTTGTAACTTTTCCTGATAATTTCGCAGCGATGGAGAGCGGACGGGAACTGGTCAAACTAAATGAACTTCCAAATTACATGGCTCTGTGTGTCAGGGAGGAGGGATGACCTCGGGACGAATTTTGCCCAGACGGGCTCCCCATCCATTTCCTGTCGGGGGTAAAGACGGAGCAAGACCCGCAGGAAGAAGGCGTCAATCCAGGCCTGCGTGGGGACAGGGCAGCCCCCTCCGCAGCTCTGTCCCAGCTGGGAACCCAGGCAGAGGAGACATCCAGCACCCTGGACGTGATGTCCAGTTGCTTGAGCACAAAGACCGCTCCCTGGGGGCTTCCTGGAGCACCTGATGGGGAGCTGTCCCCCTAAAACCTTGGGGGACGCTTCCTGAGGGTGAGGAGGGACTCCCAGCTGGGCCCCCTGTGCTCTGGGAGGCTCGAACATGAAGCAGACCCAGATGAGCAAGCCGACACCACCTGGGCCCCTGGGGCCCCTCCCAGGAAGGAGAGTCACGGACCCAAGACACGCCGCGGGGCGGGGGGCTTCCCCCCAACCGACACAACCTCAGCTGCCCCGGTCCCCAAGCCTGGGGCCCGGGGAGTTCTGGGGGAGTCAGGGGTTGGGCGAGCTTCTGAGGAGGGTGTGAGAGCATGAGAAGGAGGGGGGTCCTGGCAGGGTACTTGCTCTGGGATCTCCGAAGAAGTGAGCGAGAAGCGGATCCTTTTAATGATCTGCTTTTGCTTCCTTTTCACATAAACAAGTAACAGCCCCTGAAAAAAACCTGGAAACTGCTCACAAAAAGAACAGGCGCCCTGGAGACACCTGACTTGAAGCAAGACCCAGCCCACCAGGTGGGGCCCCCAGAGGAGCTCACCCCCACCCAGAGAGCCACCGAGCCCCTTCCCACGGCCCCCCAGTGCAGACTCAGGAGGGCCCGTCAACCCCATCGGGTCAGCCCCATTCGGCCAGCCCCATCGGGCCCGCCCCATCCGGCCCGCCCCATCGGGCCCGCCCCATCGGGTCCGCCCCATCGGGTCCGCCCCATCCGGCCCGCCCCATCCGGCCCGCCCCATCGGCCCGCCCCATCGGGTCCGCCCCATCGGGCCCGCCCCATCCGGCCCGCCCCATCGGGTCCGCCCCATCTGGCCCGCCCCATCCGGCCCGCCCCATCGGGCCCGCCCCATCGGGTCCGCCCCATCGGGCCCGCCCCATCCGGCCCGCCCCATCGGCCCGCCCCATCGGGCCCGCCCCATCGGGTCCGCCCCATCGGGTCCGCCCCATCCGGCCCGCCCCATCCGGCCCGCCCCATCGGCCCGCCCCATCGGGTCCGCCCCATCGGGCCCGCCCCATCCGGCCCGCCCCATCGGGTCCATCCCATCGGGTCCGCCCCATCCGGCCCGCCCCATCCGGCCCGCCCCATCGGGTCCACCCCATCGGGTCCGCCCCATCTGGCCCGCCCCATCCGGCCCGCCCCATCGGGTCCACCCCATCGGGTCCGCCCCATCGGGCCCGCCCCATCCGGCCCGCCCCATCGGGTCCACCCCATCGGGTCCGCCCCATCGGCCCGCCCCATCCGGTCGGCCCCATCCGGCCCGCCCCATCGGGTCCGCCCCATCCGGCCCGCCCCATCGGGTCCGCCCCATCCGGCCCGCCCCATCCGGTCGGCCCCATCCGGCCCGCCCCATCGGGTCCGCCCCATCGGGCCCGCCCCATCCGGCCCGCCCCATCGGCCCGCCCCATCGGGTCCACCCCATCGGGTCCGCCCCATCGGCCCGCCCCATCCGGTCGGCCCCATCCGGCCCGCCCCATCGGGCCCGCCCCATCCGGCCCGCCCCATCCGGTCGGCCCCATCCGGCCCGCCCCATCGGGTCCGCCCCATCCGGCCCGCCCCATCCGGCCCGCCCCATCGGGTCCGCCCCATCCGGTCCGCCCCATCCGGCCCGCCCCATCGGGCCCGCCCCATCCGGCCCGCCCCATCCGGCCCGCCCCATCGGGTCCGCCCCATCCGGCCCGCCCCATCCGGCCCGCCCCATCCGGCCCGCCCCATCGGGTCCGCCCCATCCGGCCCGCCCCATCGGGCCCGCCCCATCCGGCCCGCCCCATCCGGTCGGCCCCATCCGGCCCGCCCCATCGGGTCCGCCCCATCCGGCCCGCCCCATCGGGTCCGCCCCATCCGACCCGCCCCATCGGGCCCGCCCCATCCGGCCCGCCCCATCGGGTCCGCCC